ACACACAGTCCACTTCGACTCTCTGTTCCTTTGCCGTATGCTGCATAATAATGCGTTTTCTCGGTGCCCACTCGGTGCGTCACAAACAACTCCGGGTTGTGCGATCGAATACCCCCCCCCCACACATCTACCATAGAAACTCGTCTCTTATAGAGACTCCCAATCTTGGACACAATAACAATCCCAGTATCGATTTAATTATTCATGGAAGGCTACAAATTCGTAGACGATCAGTTACAGAGAGAGGAGAAGAGAATGAATGCAGGTACTGCCGGACAGGAAATTCTGTCATTTGGCCGGCTCTGTGTGATCGTACATGAGGCATAGTCGCCAAATGCCTACATTCATCCTTTGATACAGAAATTCTCTCTCTTGGTTGATGTAATGCAATATGAGTTTGGGAGGACATAGTTCTGAGTCGCGGTTTCTGGATTGAGGCCTATAAGAGCTCACAAACCCCGTTTTTCACTATCGGTTTTACTTACTTACATGGAGTGGGTTTGGGAAGTTTGGTTCACATTCGTCAAATAGAGCTAATGAAAAACCAGTACAAATCGGCGAATATACCCTCACTACTTGTCGTGTCTCGGTTAAGTAGGTGAATAAGCGCGCAGTGGATTAGGCAGAACGTTTATTGTAGTCGGCACTCATCTCGCCGGTCCTTAGGCCGGCGAGCAAGCAGGAGTGGGAACCACCTAGGCAGGCAGACCGAAAAACGACTCAAGCGTCACATGACATCTGAATGCCGTCGATCGGGCATTCAAACAGTAAACGAAGCAATTGGTGCGTATAGTTCAATATTAACATCTGATTGGCTGGCGCCGATCGATATTGAAATAAGGTTAGTCTGTATGGTGTAAGTGCGTGCGTGTGTGGTAGCAGGCAGCATCTGTTATTCAATCGATCAATCAATCAGTCCGGCCACAGGCATGCAGGAAGCAGCCAATCAAAAGGTTGCCGTACAATACACGGATAATGGGAAAAGTCAGGCAGCGATGGTGGTGGTGGTGTTTGAATTCGAACACTCGTCCTCTGAGCTGATAGTTTGATGATGACCTTGACCACTCGGCCACCACCGTCCATTGTTCACCGTACTCCAAAGGCTTTTCAGCGTTGAGTTACTCATTGACCTTGCATCAAGAATTTACTTATTGATTTTGTTGATGGTCCTAATCACACATTGACAAATCACATGGTTACCACGATTCTTAAGCAATGCACTACGATACGGACTGCAGATTTGGATGGGGAACGTAGTGCAACTCACAGCGGATGGTTTATTTCCCCCTACTACCGTGTAGGTTCATCTTCGGGGTTAGAAGCACCGTGTACCATTCGAAATAAGCGCGTCCTCGATGTGGTTAAGCGTCCGCTTCAGTCTCATGTATCTCAGCTTGATTTTACACCGGTCCACGCAAACAAGTGTTCCTTGTTTGGAGATTTGTTTTTCACTCACTTCGATCACTATCGCGCACATACATCATATGTGAGTCCTCTGATTGTTTTGTTGTATGCTTGTGTTCTACCTGTGAGGTTTCGGGTTTGATCCTCAGTTAGGTCAATGGATTCGCAGAGTTGTCCAGTGCTTTCCAGCTTTGCTATTCACGCTTTGGGCACAACGAAATTCACCGTATGATCGAATCAAATCCCAAACTTCTCTCATGCGTTATAACTGCTTGTAGCCTGCGGGTGACGACGAATTTAATGACTTGCTACGGGCTATTCCAAAAGATCTGCTACTTTCTTATCAAAACGAGCACTTTTCGTCAATTTTCGCGAATTCGAAGCCCAGTTTTTTTTATAAGACGCGTTGCATCTATGGGCCTCAAGTGCTGACTTATTTTTGTGGTATTTCTTTTACTCTTTTACTACCTTACTTTATAATTTGAGTGAATAATTCCGATAGATTCACTAGGAAAACAGAGATGTGGCGAACACACTTGTTTTTCATGCTTTATCTACTGGCCAATTGCAGCACATCATATAACTCGGGGAAATAATACAGGGAGATAGTGAAATCAGGCTTTTAGTCTGTGTAAAACGGGAGTTGCTGGGTTGGGGAGGGGGGGATTGAGTGCTCAAACACTGACCGCATGATTGGTGATAATCCCTTTTTTGATTTCAATTGCTGTTAAACAATTATTTGTCTGATCGAGATATAATCTATTTTGATCAATTCATCTCCGTTTTTTTTTCTCGCTCCATCTTTCATCGCTCGTTGTAGGCCACCCATCACTCTCAAACGAGCATCGGCCTGCCCTTTGGGGAATTGCCCGCAGGTCGGATCGGTCGCATACACTACTGAGCTTTCCAATCACGCGATCGAGGCGACAGTCGCGCAGTCTCCTACCCCATTCCCCTCCGCGTATCACACCAGATCTTCCACCCCTTGTTCGATTTTTCGATCGAACAGGACTACAACTCCAATGCCTTGCCGCAGGTTACCCTCGTCCCAAAATCCGATGGTTCTCTCTGCCCACAAACGGTCGGACAACAAGAGCGGATCAACTGATCGGTGCCGCACACTCAGACAAGCTGTCACTGCGCTCCGCTGCCACCGCATTGTCGGCAGATGAACCCGTGAAGCCGAACACACATGAGCAACCGGATATGGATGTGGATGTGGATGAGGACAACGGTGACGATGATCTGGTCAGTGAATTGGGCTATAGTAACTATGTGAGGTGAGTCAGCAAACGAGTGTGCCTCTTCCGTTCATACTTGAGCATCAGCTGAACGGTCAGCTAAATTCATCAAGAGAAGATGTGGTAATTGTAGTAATAATAGTTGTAGTACGCAATGAACACGAAATACGAGTTACGGATCACGAATCACTGATTAGTAATCACGGACGTAAGCACTGAACCACACTGGTACTTGTACGCAGTATCCCACGTAACCGAGACGCGAGGAAAAGACCACAAGAAAGCAGTTCCTCTATTGAACGAAATCAGGGAAATTAAATAATATGTACAAAACAAGCTCATTGGTCATCCGGTCCTCTGCCAATCGTGTGCTAGTATTTCGGCCGTTGTTCAGCTTTTCTGAGCCGCTCGGTCTCTGATTGACTGGTACAATCTACCCATGGTATGTAGTCCAGAAGATGTGGCACGCGCGCGCTTTGCTGACGTCACCCGTGAAGCTTGATTGATCACAGTTGTCCTAAAATTGTAACGTGTCACTCTGTGGTGTACGTCATCTCGTACGCTAGGATCTCCACAGAAGAGAAACCACATGTTCTCTCACAAGCGTGATGGATAATATTTACCTAGTGCATCTAACCTGATTCGGTTAGACCCGAGGCCAACAACTAGGAATCGTAATTCGACGTGGTCAAGGTATTCACCCTGATGTCAGGTCGTGAGTTTGACCAATTGTAGCCTTCCACCCACTACCTGCAAATCGACAACTTATTATATAATTATATTTCACACCCGGCTGAGTCCGGGTAGTGTGTCAAACAAATCGCGATACAACGAACTTTAGTACGAAGAGAAAAAGATCCTTAATTTGCTACTGGGCAGNCTGGGCAGATTAATGCCAGATGGTCCAAACCAAAGCAGGCGAATTTTCTCGGGGAATTCAGAACCGGTTTATGTATAAATCCAATCCTTACACTCTCTCTCTCTCTCTCACACACACACACACACACACGGCCCCAAAATAACCATGAGCGAAAGGGAAAAACAGAAACAGGATAAAGTAGAAAACAAAAATAGTCAATTTTGGGAATAAAAAGTAAGTTTTGCTTGCTTATTACACGCAATTTGGATTTTTTTCTGGTTCTTTTTGGGATCGCACCAAACCAAGGATACATTCACGCCACTGATTTCGCTATGGTGCGGCGGTGTCTCCAGCCATAGACAATCTGAATCTTCGAGGTCCAAGCCGGGGAGCCGGAAAGCCCCGACGGAAACC